CTCAATTTAAAATTTGATATTTATAAAGCAATATTTCCTAAAAAAAGATCAAATATAAATTAATTTAATATTTACATATAAATTCAACCAAATAATAAAAATAATCAAAATATAATTAAAATTAAATTTTAGTTTATATAAATTAAATGGCAATAAATAGTCCTTAAATTCATAATTAAAAAAATTACAATAATTAACATTTTTTTTGGATAGGAAATACAATTGTATTAATAATTGAAAGACAATTACAATACAGACTATATTTTGCCATTTAGGCTGAGCAAGAAAAAAAAGTTAGGATAGACTATGACACTAACATATAGAGTTAAGGATTCTATACGAATAAAGAGAATTAAGAATTGAAAACCTCTAAATATTAATATATGTATAAAAGTGTTAATAAAATTATATAATAACATAGAAGGAAATGAACTAGAGCTTATTGACGCTGCTAGCAATTGCAACTATTGTACCACCTACACCTAGCAGAGGGGATAAGTGGACTTAGCGATGTAGTGTCTCCCCACCCTACAATGCTTTGTCCATTCACAATTGCTAATTAACCATCAGAAAACTGAAACGGGGAGAATTTGTCCCTAATCTTAGATATTGTGAAAACCTTCCTAGGGTTCCATAGGGGCTTCCCCGCTAAACTCAGTTGTTCTTCCCTGGAGGCCTCAGATTTCCGAATCAATAGCAAGGGAAAGATACCGTCTTCAACCTTTGTCAAAAGGGTGCAACTAAGCCTGTACCTGATTTCGAAATTCGCCATTCCTATCAACACCGACAACCAACAATAGAAAGGAGAAGTAATCGTCAATCCCGTCGCCACCAAGGACCAGATCTGCACTAGTTTGTGGACCACTAGTGGTTCCCCTGTTGTAGAATACCAAAAACAGAGCAAAAGAAAAACTGAGGGGAAAGACCCGAAGGAGAAACCCTGAAGGGAAAGGTAGGTTGAAGGGAAAGGGGAAGGCTCCACAAAAGGAGAGAGACCTAAAGTAGACAACCCGTCGCCTCCAAAACCCTAAAGTTTCAGAGCATGGGAGAAATCCTAAAATTCTGATCTTAACATTTATTTTCATATTATTGTTACATAGATAATTTTAATAAATTTATTTAATTTGTCCCGTAAAGGCATATATTAAAAAAATAATTAATACATCGCGTATGTTTGTGATTTTAATTGATATATTACTTAAATTGAAGTTAATATTTACACGTTTTATATAATTTAATTATAAAATAATATATTAATCATATTCTTAACTTGTGTTTTTTAAAAAATAAATTTTAATTCTCTTATTAATTAAATTAAAATCAAAATTTATATATTTTACACAAATTAATTATAAAATGCAATCTTAGAAAACGGGCTATCAACAGTTTCCGGTCTATCTTTTAAAGGCAAGGTGATGTGGCTGAGTAGATGGGGAGGTGTTGATTGGCGAGTGGAAGGGGCGATTGTCCCTGCCACTAAACTTACAAAACAAATATGATTAATATTAAGACTTAAGTTTTCTTCTCTCTCTACCATTTTTGTATAATAGTAACCAATAAATCATGTTATTCTCTAATTTTATCATTTATAGACGTAGGATTTAAAAAAAAAAAAAAAAACTTAACTCATTATAACAAATTTTTAGCATCCCTTTTAAGTAACCTACCCTTAATTCTGAACTTTATATTTATTTATATTACATCATATAAACTTAGATAAACTTTAAATTTACTTTAATTATATAACTTTATTAGGTTTTATTGATTCTTTATTTGACCCAATTAAAAAAAAATCAAATACAATTAGTAAAAATCCACACAAAATTTTTAACATTCTCTCACTTGAAGAACGTTAATTGGTTTTAAATTTTAAACAAATATATTTTAAAAAATGATTTTTGGGTAGAATTTTAAAAAATGATTTTTGAGTCAAATATAAGTTTAGTAATCACAAAT